ACCTGGTGGGGCTCTTCGAGGACACCAACCTGTGCGCCATCCACGCCAAGCGCGTCACCATCATGCCCAAGGACATCCAGCTGGCGCGCCGCATCTGCGGAGGGTGTGGCTAAGCTTTCGGTTTCACTGGTTACCACCCAAGCACTTGTCAGGGGAACCCATACCGGAAAAGGCCACTTTAAGCACTACTGTCCCGAAAACACCAGGGCCCGGCTTCGAACTCAACAAAGAAATGTAACAGCCAGGTGTGCACGCCGCGCACGCTCCCAGCTGGGGCTCCCGTCCAGCCTAGTTACCATGGATGACTCATTAGCCTAGGGCGCGGACTTACGGTTAGGGACAAAGTCCCCTAGGTCTTGCCAATACAGTTAACTCTAGGCAAGACGAAGCTCGCTAAGGCCAGTGGTTCCCGAGCCGCTAAGCTTCACCTAGAGGTTAGGTACGCCGGAGGGAACCTGAGCCTCTTAAGGAATTGCGGGGTAGGGTACAGGATTAGCTCAACACCGCCCCGGCAAGGGGGTGCAAACTCCGCGTGGAGACCAGGAGACACGTACTAAAGCTCTTTCCTCTGAAGTATGTTGGTGGCTCTTAAAAGAGCCGTTGGGTTATTGGAGTAAGTTCCAACTGCAACGCTTACTTTTTCTTGGGCGCAGCCTTTTTGGGCTTGGCAGCCGTCTTTGGCTTGGTCACCTTCGCCTTGGCCGCCTTGGGCTTAACAGCCTTGGCTTTGGCAGGGCTCTTGGCTACTTTCTTAGGCTTCACAACCTTGGGCTTCTTGGACGACTTCTTGGCCACAGCCGGCTTTTTGGCCTTTTTCGGAGTCTTAACGGCTTTTTTAACAGCCGCCGTGACCTTTTTAGGTTTCTTGGAAGCGCCCGTCACCTTGGCCTTCGCCACCTTCGTGGGGTTGGCCTTAGCTTCCCCGGAGGCCGCCTTCTTGTTGAGCTTGAAGGAGCCCGAGGCGCCGGTGCCCTTGGTCTGCACCAGGGTGCCCTTGCTCACCAGGCTCTTGAGGCCCAGCTTGATGCGGCTGTTGTTCTTCTCCACGTCGTAGCCGGCGGCCGCGAGCGCCTTCTTGAGCGCGGCCAGGGACACGCCGCTGCGCTCCTTGGAAGAGGACACCGCCTGCACGATCAGCTCCGACACGGAGGGGCCCGCGGGCTTCTTTTTGGCGGCAGCCGCAGCCTTGGCCGGCCTCTTGGCTTTCTTGCCAGCCGCAGGCTTCTCGGGGGGAGTGGAGGTGGCCGGCACGGGCGGCGCGGTCTCAGACATAGTGAGAGCAGAGCAGAGCGAGCGAGCTGCGAGGACCTGACGGAGCAGGAAGACGCCGGCGGCCCCGGCGCGGCGTATTTATAGGGCGGGGCCGCGCTGTGATTGGTGCTCGCCGGCGCCCGCCTCTCGCCCCCTGGCGCCCCCTGCGCCGCGGCCCTCAGCGCGTCCGTGAGGGGACTGGGCGGCGGCAGCCCTGTCGCCTCGCGCAGACCGCAGTTCTGGGCGGGGAGGGGTCGGGCTCCGCAGCCCATTAACGCCAGACGGTGCCGCTTCCCTTTATAAAACAGGCCTTTTCGTTCCGGGGGGGCGGAGGAAGAGCAGTTTGTAAACGAGGCACCCAAATAATCCAGGGAGGCGTCGTGAGGGGCATCCGTTTCTAATCCACCCTGAACGTAAAAGGCCGCGTCCTGAATGGCCGGGGAGGGAGAGAGGAAAGCGGGGTGTGGGGGGGAGGGCGGTGTGCAGGAGCGTAGGCCTGGCCCGCCGGTCTGGGACCAGTCCTCAACGCCATTGCCCCGGCGACGCCGAAGAGGGACACGCCTGGTCAAGACCTTTCATGAACTTTGGTCAAAGGAGTAGCGTGGTAAACACCCCAACTCGCTGACACCGCGGCTAACACGCAAGCGGCACTTGGGGAAAACAATACACAAACCTTCCCGTGAGTGAATGCCAAGTCGCGTCTGCAGCCCGGTGCCCTTGACGAGCTCCAGATGCCCCTTCAGCCTTACCACATGCCGCGGGCAGGGGCTGACGGGACTGCTCCCTGGCAGCGCGCTCTTGCTCAACAACAGCTCCCAGCCCGGCGCGCCAGGGCCGTTCAAGAAGCGCTGGCCGGACTAAACGCTCCCCTGGCCGGCGCCGTGAGGGGGTGAGAGCGCCTCAGGGCGAGAGCGAGAGGGCGCGGCCCCGGGTAACTGCTCAGGGCGAGCCTCCTCTGACTTCTTAGCGGCTGTGAGGGGCATTGAAACGCATGGACGAGGCTCAAGTGATTTCACAGTGCGAATCAGACGATGAGAGAAAAAATGCCTCTCCCAGGGCTGCGCCCGGTAACCAACACGCCCTGTCACAGGCTCGTGGCAGTCGCCCGGCGGCCGGGAGGAGGCAGGGACGGCCCCTTCCCGCCCTGCGCTCCTGAAGTTCTCAAACAAGTCCGCGCGGCCTAAGTAACCCGAGCTTCCCGCTTTCCCGCAAACATCCGAGGGGCTTGTTACCCGCCGGCGGCCAATAATGGGATGTTCCCACTAACAGCTCCGCCACCCTCAACGACCTCCCGTTTTCCCGAGAGTCTGTGTTTTCAGACGCAACCCGTAGTTTCTACCAGTTTGGAAGAGAACAATCGGAGCTAGGCGTTTGAAGGAAGAGTCAATTATAACAGGTATACGACCTTCCTCCAAGTCTGGAAGCTTTTGTAAGTGAACATCTTCTGAAAGTCAAGCTTTTCCTAGTGTAATAAACGAGGACTCTAATTAAACGTAGCTTTTTAAAAGGGAACACTGGATTCGGGAATTTCTTAAGGTTCCGGCCTCCTGTGTATCCATTGGATTAAACAGGCTTCAGATAAAATAGGAACGTTCTACCCAAATGAAGGATGCTAGGTTTCTTACTGGCCTATCAGTATAAAAGTACTCAACCAATGAAAAGGTAGAATCTGGCCTACCTACTCTTAGTACAAAACGGTCACATTTGATGTTTCTAAGCTTGAAAAAATTTAAGAACTATAAAGTTAGATCTTGGTAATGAGAAGTTTGCCCTCTCGTGGCTCGGAATCCAGTTGATTGGACCCAGGACACGCCTGCTCCGCAAGGCTCAGAGAGGTTGGTGCTGGAGAATTTAGTCACTGATATTTTACACCTGGCAAAACGTATTCTAGGCGTGAGAAAAAATAAGTTCCAGAAAGCTCCAAGTTTAGAAGTCAGCATTAACATTTAACAAATGGGTGTCCGATTACTGGAAATACTTCTGTAAACGCCAGTGTAATTTTACTAAGGTTGACATTGTCTCGTAGGATCCAAAGGAGTTCCTTCATTTTAGCATTATAAAGGGATCTCATTTTTTGAAAAAGGTTTCAGAAACTTGTAATACGATATGGGGTTATTGGGGTTATTGAGCAGGGAGTATAAAGAGTACATTATTGGGGGCAATATGTCTCAAATTTCTCTCCAAGAATTAAAGAAATAATAGTTTTGAACTACAATACCAACAAAGTTAATGTTTGGTAACATTCAAAGCACCGCATTCAGACTACGAAAATCATTGTGTAAGTCACAGTGAGCTAGTTGTGGGGGAAAAAAAAACCCAAAGAGACGAGGATAACGTGGTAGCCAATGAAACTGCGCCGTTGTTGGAAAGCAAAATATAGACCAATCAGAGCCTGCAACCTTATACGTCACATTTTTCTTATCCAATCACTTCACCTTACCTACTATAAATACTGGGCAGTCTCTTTGCGCGACCTATTTGTGCTGGCGTTTGATACGCTTATGTAGGTGTCATGGCTCGCACAAAACAGACAGCCCGCAAGTCGACCGGCGGCAAGGCCCCGCGCAAGCAGCTGGCCACCAAGGCGGCCCGCAAGAGCGCGCCGGCCACCGGCGGCGTCAAGAAGCCGCACCGCTACCGGCCCGGCACGGTGGCCCTGCGCGAGATCCGGCGCTACCAGAAGTCCACCGAGCTGCTGATCCGTAAGCTGCCGTTCCAGCGGCTGGTGCGCGAGATCGCGCAGGACTTCAAGACCGACCTGCGCTTCCAGAGCTCGGCCGTCATGGCCCTGCAGGAGGCGTGCGAGGCCTACCTGGTGGGGCTCTTCGAGGACACCAACCTGTGCGCCATCCACGCCAAGCGCGTCACCATCATGCCCAAGGACATCCAGCTGGCGCGCCGCATCCGCGGGGAGAGGGCATAATAAACTTTTTTTTTTTCCTTGAAACTTCAACCAAAGGCTCTTTTCAGAGCCACCCACTTTTTCAAGTAAAGTGGCTGTAAAACTAATCAACTAAAGAGTTTAATATGACTAGCTATGCACTTAGAAACGAAAGGATATGGACTAGCAACACTTTTAATGGGTTACAGATGCTTACTTTTTGTCTAAATGTTCCCTGTATATGCGAACAAAATTGGCCCTTTAAGAGGTTAGGAGGTACTGCTAACTTAGGTCCTAAGGAAGAGTCGGCGTTTCAAGAGGGGCATGAAACAGCTGGCATTTGAAGGGCATTAGGTAGGGCCTCCTGAGCGTCAGTTGTAAAACGAACAGGAATAGTATAGTTTCATCAAACACGTATTAAAAGTAAAACATCTAGAAGAAACCTGGTTTATCATTAACTATAAGCTGCTCAACTTACATTTCTTTGATCTTGGTATTTTTGCCATTACTGAAATTATTGCGAAACAAGCTTTTTGCCTTCTCAAGTATTCTATTTAGAGTATTTTTGGAATCTTACATGAGCTTACTATAAACCCAGTTGGTTAGAACAATGTAGTCCAGTTAAGGGAGTAAAGACCAATGGTCAAGCTGGGTTCTGACCCCCGCCCGCCCTGAGTTCCTGGGGCTTGGAGGCGGGATTAAGGGAGGGGACTGCTGGCGTCACATTTCCCGCCTGCGCTCTTTCCATTCTCTACATCTGCAGGGGGTGGGGTTGGAAGGGACGTCGTTATATAAGGACCAGCTCTCACTTCCTTTGTCACTGGCTGTTGTTTTGCTTTCTAGAAAACCATGTCTGGCCGCGGGAAGGGCGGGAAAGGCCTGGGCAAGGGCGGCGCCAAGCGCCACCGCAAGGTGCTGCGCGACAACATCCAGGGCATCACCAAGCCCGCCATCCGGCGGCTGGCCCGGCGCGGCGGCGTCAAGCGCATCTCCGGCCTCATCTACGAGGAGACCCGCGGGGTGCTCAAGGTGTTCCTGGAGAACGTGATCCGGGACGCCGTCACCTACACGGAGCACGCCAAGCGCAAGACGGTCACGGCCATGGACGTGGTCTACGCGCTCAAGCGCCAGGGCCGCACCCTCTACGGCTTCGGGGGCTAAGCTCTGATTTCATCACCAGGAAACTACATTTCATAACCAAAGGCCCTTTTCAGGGCCACCCAACCGTTCAAAAAAAGGGCTGTCTTGATAGACCCTCCACTGTAGTTAAACTTTCTAATCTAGAGATCTAATGACTGAATCCCGTTAAGACTGCAGGATATTTGAAGGTAAAACCGTGCGACGTCCGTATACACCAAAGGAACTCCCTTAGCTGAACAGTATTTAGCCCGCTCCTCTGTCCCTATTCACTGCATACGAGTAAGGGTTTTAGGAATGATATTTCAACTCAAAAGTGGGGAAGGACCGAGTGAGGAACTTGCAATGATTTCTAGGAACAAAGAGGAACATTGTCCAATCAGCAAGTCCCATCCGTGGTTGTCAACCAATCAGAACTGATGATCTCATGTGCCTTCCCCCCCGCCCCCAAACCGCCAGGCGAGCCAGACTAGGGGATGGGAAGGCTGGCCAGAAACCCCAAAGCCCTGGGTTAGGAATTTTTATCATTTTGCGGATTATGAAATAGACTCAGACCTGCAAGTGTCCTTCAATCAAGTCCCGAGAACAGTACTGAGGTTTCACCACTAACAGAATGATTTGTCTCCAAAAAATAGTCTCTGGAAATGGGCAGGGGAGAAACCAGATTCAGGCTGCCAGAAAACCCAGGGCACTGGATTCAGGGGAGAGTAACATCTGGTTTATGGGGGGAAAGTGCCTCTTTCATTGTCAGAGCCTGTACGAGTTCGCCATATTTTCCTTCCTTCACAGAGAAATGGAAATTAGGGCGGCTAATTTTGGGTGAATTTTATGGTGTATAAACTATATCACAATTAAATAGAGCGAGTGCGACAGAGCCCCCAAGCTGTTGCAAGCTCAGTATGTCAGCTTCAGCCGGTGTCTCTCCTAGCTTTTTTGGTCCTCTTTTCCACCTGATAACCATCCTCCAAGATTCCTGGGGAATGATAAAAGTACCTAGCCTGGCTTAATTTAAATTAACATTGGGGAGAATTCAGAGCTGCATCCTGGACAGCCAGAGGAGCAAAATGGGCCTGGCTGGGAGAGTGGTCATTTTATGTTCTCCTTAGCTGGTGTTCCTTCAAGAGATATTTATTGACCTCAGGTAATGTGCCAGATACTCTTGTAGGCATTGGGGTACACCTTTGAGCAAATCAGACAGAATTCCCTGTCCTGGATGCAGAGTATATGTAGAGAGGTGTGTGAATGCAGATTTTCTATACGGGAGGGGAGGGGTAGTTGCTACAACAATAGACATGATTAGCTTCTGTGATGGTTGGTCTGGCTTCTTTATTCATAGCCTTGTAGATAGTACTATACCCATTTTAGTCGTGCTCACTGCCCTGGGGGAAAGCCTCTGAGCCTTCCTCAGTCCTAATAATCATGAAGGCCTTGTTCAGAACAAAGAGATCATGCTGCATGATTTGCCATTCGGCATCATTCCTCAGATCTAGAGGAAAAACTGCCACACTGATTGATTCAGGCAGTGGTAAGTCAAGAAATAGTAGAGAATCAATTGTGGCAGCACTCTGGTGGGCCTAGGGTCTTGTGTAGAAAATTCATGTGTGCGTTCATTCAACTGATGGGGTTCAGGACATGCTATCTCCTAATATGCCACCTTGGTATATTAAATATGTTAAACTCAACGAGTTTAAGCTTTAGAAGCAGGAAAATCACCCTGACATCCCCTACACCCCCACGTCACCCCGACTTCTTTCTTTTTTCCTGAAAGCAGAAGATAAATCTTTTATGTGAAATGTACCCTCCTGTTCCAGGAGGAAGAAAGACATCCTTACGACCAGAGACGAGGAACTCAGGGCTGAGAAGGCTTTATGAATAAACCTTGTCACTTCTTTACCATTTACTACTTCTAGCCCAAAGCACTTTGTCTTTTCACGTCTTTAGAAAGGTATTCTTTGTCTAACAGATATAAAAGCTTCCTGTTCTGTTCACTTCCTTGAATCTTATATCTTTGTGGGGCTCCTGTACTTATGTACATAATTAAATTGGATTTTCTCCTGTTAGTCTATCTTTTTATTACAGGGAGGTCTCAGTCAAGAATTTAGAAAGGTAGAAGGAAAAATATTTTTCCTCTCCCCACACAACAAACCTTCAGAGACTACCTATTAGCTGTCAGCCCTATTCTAGATGCTGGGGACACTTCGGGGACAAAATAAAATCCCTGCTCTCAAAGAATTGTATTGTAGTTGGGGGAGAGAAACAACAATCAGACATATATTGATACACGTGGGGATGCATATGTCATTTTAAAGAATGAGTAGAAAGTGGTATTATTTTACATAGGGTGGTCAGGAAAGTTCTCTTTCATAAGAAGGTGTTTGGGCAGAGGCCTGAATGAAATGAAGCCTGCAGCCATCCAGGGACAGGTAGTAGAATATGCCACACAAAAACCGCCTCTGACATAAAGATTAAACGCACCTTGAAAAACAACAGGTGCTGGAAGACACAGTGATCTCTCCTTTTTATTCCTGAAAGCAGATGAGAAATTCCCCATATAGAAGATGTCATCCTTATATGACAAGGAAAGCAACATTTTTCTCACCTTGGGTGAGGAGTTGAGGCCAGGAGAAATCTGTACAAACAAACCTTGTAAACTAACCCTTATCTTCCTAGTTACTTTTCCACAATTCACTACCCTAGCCCCAACCCCCTTGTCTTGTGTTTTCAGCTTACTACTCTTTGTCCAACTCAGTATATAACTGTTCAACTCTAACTGCTTCTTTGGGTCTTCATTTCCTTATGAGGGTACCTTTGTCATGGAAAAACATTGGTGTACCCCAATGTCTAAATATATAAATATATACGTATTTATATAAATGTAAAACGAATAGTATGTTTTTCTCCTGTTACCCTGTTTTATGTCAATTTAATTCTTAGGCCTGCCAAAAAACCCTAAGAGGGCAGAAGTAAAATCCTCCCCTATACCAGGATAAGATACTTCTAGGAAGACAGAAAAATAAGCACAAGGGCTCTGAGACTGGAACATGCTTGGTCTGTTCCACAAACAGCAAAAAGGTCAGTGAAGACAAAGAAATGTGACAGCAAATGAGATCAGAGGATGGCCAGGGCCCAGAGCATGCAAAGCCATCTAGGTAGGGTGACAAACTCATCCTGTTTGCCTGAGACTTTCTTCAAGTTTTAACATTGAAAGTTCCACATCCCCAGAGACCCCTCAAATTCAGGCAAACTGGAATTTTTGGCTACCCTCCTTGTAGGCTGGGATAAAGACACTGGCTTTTATTATGAAGGTGGAAAACCACTGGAATGTTCTCAGGGTGGACATGATATCTTTTGAAATAATCACTCTTGTTGCTGGGTTGAGAAAAAAAACAAGCTATCAAAAGCGAAAACAAAGACTAGTTAGGAGGCATTATGGTCATCTGGACAAAAGGTGATTGTGGCTTGTCCAGGAGTACGTAGCACAGAATGTAGTGAAAGGTGCTCTGATTGATTTGTAACATAGAGCTGACTGGGTTGGATGTAAGTTGTAAGAGAAAGAGCTCAAACAGGACTGCAAGGTTTCTGAGCTGAGCCCCTGGAAGCCTCCATTTATTGAGGTGGGGAATACTGGAGAAAGAACAGATTTGGTGTGTTTATGTGTTCAGATATCTAATTTGGACAAGTCAAGTTTGAGATGTCCATTAGATACTGGAGTAGGTATGTCAAAAATGCAGGTGGATATGTGGCAAGCTTCATTATGAAGTCTGAGGTGGGTGGAAGGAAACTGATAAAAGTATAGGGGTGATTAAAAACTCCCTCCTAAAAACAGCCATTGGGATTGAGAAACATACAGAAGTTGACACAATCATAGGCATTGTCACTACAACCTGAACTGACACTTGGGGCTAGGCCATGGCGTTTTCCTGTTGAGCATAAACCATTTCACAGAACACAGAACATAACAATAGTGAGACCAAGAACAGAAAAGGGGCCCAAGAAGTGAGCCATAGGTAGTCTAGAGCACATACTGGAATAGAGTTTCTCTATTCTTTTAATAGGGCTGTATAGCATTCCATTTGTTATGGACTGTTTGTATCCTCACAAATTTATATATTGAAATTTTAATCCCCTATATGATGGTATTAGGAGGTTGGGCCCTTGGGTAGTGATTAGGCCATGACGATGAAGCACTCATGAATGGCATTAGTGCCCTTTAGACATAAGAGACTTCAGAAAGCTCTCTGGCCCTTCCCTCTGCCATGTGAGGACACAGCAAGGCAAGTCTATGAACCAGGAACTGGGGTCTCACCAGACACCAAATCCTGTCTGAAACTGTCCTGTCTGAATCTGCCAGTACCTTGATCTTGGACTCCCAGCCTTGAGAAATCAGTTTGTTGTTTAAGCCACAGTCTGTGGCATTTTCATTATAGCAGCCTGAAGTAAGACACGATTTCATGGGTATAGATAATATCCACTCCTTCTAGTGACAATTTACATTTCTATTTACATTTCCACTTATTATTTTTATATTATTATACATATTACACATAATATATATTATATAATTATATATTATTATAATTATTCTACATTATTTACATTTCTATTTATTATTACAATGTATTGCAATAAGTGGTGTTTAAATTCTTACTGATCTGACCCAGACTCACCATTTATAGGTTGGTGATTCCCAAATTTTCCTCTAAACCAAAGCAGACCTCTCACTTGAACTCGAGAATCTTTCCCAACTGCCTGTTCAGTATCTTCTTGTGTCAGAGAGACATGTTAGCAGAGTAACTTGCTCTCTGAAGCAGCCGTCAATATATTCAAGCATTAAATCAAAGCTATTCAGTTGTCCGATTTATCAATTTGAGGACATACTTCAAAACACTTATTGTGTTTGTTTTTTTTTATTTTGTCTGACAGAGAGCAGAGGGAGCTGCAGGCATAGGGAGAGGGAGAAGCAGGCTCCAGCTGAGCAGAGCCCGACGTGAGCCGAAGGCGGACACTTAACCCACTGAGCCACCCAGGCGCCCCTCAAAACACTTTGTGACCATGTGTGAAAGCTTCATTCAAAAATCCCAAACCTTACAATTTGCAGGAGGCAGAAGAAAGAGGGAGAGGAGCTGGGCGGAGGGACGAAGGCGGAGGATGCAAGACAGTCGCCAGAGAGCCAGTTGCCTCAAAGGAGGACGCGCCTCCCTCAAGCCCTCAAGGGTGGGCCCTGCCAGAGGCCTTAGGGTTTCGAGCAACCCGAGGCCTGAATCCGAACAGACCCCCTTCGTCTACTAAGTGGGAAGTTTCCAAACTCTGCTTGGCCAGGCGCTTAGGGGCGGCCGGGTACCCGAGCCCGACAATGGAAAGGCCGAGGCACCGTGAAGCCCAAGTCCCCCGGCTGCAGCCTCACAGGCTCCAACTCCAGGGCACCGGCGGCGGCGGGGACGGGAGGCCAGGGCCTGCTCCTCTCTCCTGACGCCACTGAGGGGCACACACCGAGGACTGGACGTTCAGCGTCTCCCGCGTTTAGCCCACCTGGCTTCCTAGTGAGGCGGGCAGCGGCCCCTCGCCAATACACGTTATTTACCGACCCGAACCCTCCTAGGCGAACGAGAGCTGGGCGGCAACGGAAGCACTGGCGCCACCCGGGCGCTTCCTGGCAGGGAGCGTGGCTTGTACTTACTCCCTCCACAGGCGAGAAGAGGCAGGCAGGGGCCTGGCGGGAAGAGCCGTGGGGGTCAGGCCAGCTCCTTCCGCGGGAGGCCCCGCCCCTCAGACAGCCCCTACTCCTGATTGGCGCAAAACCCGCGCCGCGCACTATGCAGCCACTCATTGGCTGAGCGAGCATCCGGCGGTCGCGGTGCTGTCAGGCTTGGGTTTACAACAAAAAGGCAAGTAACCACGTAAAGTAAAAGCTCCAAAAACCCAACAAAACCGGGGCACTAAACGCGTACAGCCCTTTTGGAGAAAAGGTGGGCGGCCCTAAAAAGGGCCTTTAGAGAACTTTGGAAAACAAACGAAGACGAAGCTTTTAGCCCCCGAAGCCGTAGAGGGTGCGGCCCTGGCGCTTGAGCGCGTAGACCACGTCCATGGCCGTGACCGTCTTGCGCTTGGCGTGCTCCGTGTAGGTGACGGCGTCCCGGATCACGTTCTCCAGGAACACCTTGAGCACCCCGCGGGTCTCCTCGTAGATGAGGCCGGAGATGCGCTTGACGCCGCCGCGCCGGGCCAGCCGCCGGATGGCGGGCTTGGTGATGCCCTGGATGTTGTCGCGCAGCACCTTGCGGTGGCGCTTGGCGCCGCCCTTGCCCAGACCTTTCCCGCCTTTGCCGCGACCAGACATAGCTGCTTGGAAACTCTGTGCGAGTTGAACACAGAAATGGCCCTGCTCCTTCCGCAGGAGAAATTATAAGCAGAGGCCGGACCTCGTTGAGAACTGAAAGCGCGCGCGGGAACCGCGGCCCCGCTGCCCCACCCCGGGCTCCGCCCCTCTCTGGGCCGATCTCCAATGACTGTGGGACAGGGAGCAGGGCGGTTTCCCGTGGAAGCTCTGGATTTTCCTGAGCGCGTTGGTGTTTGTATCTGCAGCTCTCTTCCTATGAGAAAGTGAGTGGGGGCTTCTAGTTTACAACAAAGTACTGTCGTTCTCATTCAGAAGGGAATGATTGTTAGCTGGGAAGGGAACCCTAAGATGCCACCCCAAAAGAGGAGTGTAGGAGTTCAGGACAAACCGTCTCAAAATAGGCCACTTTGGTACGAAGGGTAGCAGAATATGCCTCCCCAAAATATGCCTCTGGCATAAGGACTGTTTTTGAGCAAGTAATTTTTAAGAAACACCAGACACAGGAGAATCTCTGAAATCAGAGTAGAACTCTGTTTTAAGGGACATGTTACATTTATAAAGGAGATCTTAATCTGTAAGTGTCTCCCTCTCAGTACCAGAAAGAGAAGGATGATTAAATCACCAGACAATTTTGTCCATGGAGAAGGCCCGAACTTAATTCTGCATCACAACCTTGTTTACCTTTTCCCGGTAACCCATACCCGGCTCCCTGCGCACTCCGCTCGCACACCCAACATCTTTTAGCTGAAGACGGTATTTAAGGCGGTGGCTTGGGCCTTTCCAGGGAGTTTTACTCAGTTCTTCAGAGTATCTCTCACGTATACAGGACGTACACATGTTATTAAACTGCTGTTTGTTTTTCTCATTAATCTTTTATTACAGGGTTCTCAGCTAAGAACTCAGAAGGGTAGGGGAAAGTTATTTTCCCTCTTTTACAGCTGTGTGACCTTGTAACCTTGCCTTAGTTTTCTTCATTTGTAAAGGTGGAGTGATGATACTGCTCACGTAGCTTTTGTGAAGATTTAAATTAACTAATATAAGCAAAGGCCTAGAACAGAGATTGGCACAAAGAAGTCCTACATAAATGTGCCTGGATTTTAGCTGGTATTATTACTTAAAGAATCTGTCTGGAGTTGGGAGATTGCCCTGAACACTCATTTTCAAGCTTTTACTCTGAACACAACACAGACAACACGGATACGTATATAATAGTGAAAGTTTTTGTTGTTGTTGTTTGTTTCATTTTTTATTTTTTTTTAAAGATTTTATTTATTTATTTGACAGAGAGAGACACAGTGAGAGAGGGAACACAAGCAGAGGAAGTGGGAGAGGGAGAAGCAGGCTTCCCATGGAGCAGGGCGCCTGATGCGGGGCTCGATCCCAGGACCCTGGGATCATGACCTGAGCTGAAGGCCGACGCTTAACGACTGAGCCACCCAAGGTGCCCCTGTTTGTTTGTTTTAAATCACATTTAATAAAATACAAGACATTGATGATTTCTGTTTTTTTGGGTTTGTCTTCAATTGCAGTATAGCTGACATACAATATTATCCTAGTTTTAGGTGTACAACATAGTGAATTGATGGTTCTACACATTATGAAGTGTTCATCATGATGTGTTACCATCTGTTACCATACAAAGTCATTATAATATGATTATATTCCCTGTGCTGTACTTTGCATCCCTGTGACTTATTTATTGTATAACTGGAAGTTTGTATCTCTTAATCTCCTTCACCTATTTTGTTTCTTACTCCCCACCCCCACAACTACTAATCTGTTCTATTTGTCTGTTTTGTTTTTTTAGATTGCACATATTAAGTGAAATCATATGGTATTTGACTTTCTCTGTCTGACTTAGTTCATTTAGCATATACCCTCTAAGTCCATCCATATGAATAATAAGATTTCATCCTTTTTTTATGCTAATATTCCATTGTTATACAGTTGACCCTTGAAAAACTCAGGGGTTGGGGTACTGGCTGCTACACAGTTGAAAATCCACATATAACTTTTGAATCCCCCCTCAAAACTACCAATACCGTACTGTTAATTAGAAGCCTTACTGATGACATAGTCTGTTAACACATATTTTGTACGTCCTATGTATTATATACTGTATTCATATTATAAAGCAAACTAGAGAAAAGAAAATATCAAGAAAATCATAAGGAAGAGAAAAACATTTACAGTAGTGTATCATATTTATTGGAAAAAATCTATAAATAAATGGGCCCACGCAGTTCAAACCTGCATTGTTCAAGGGTCAACTCTATATACCATATATTCTTTAGCCATTCATCTATTGATTGACAGACTCTGTTCATACATGACATGTTAAATATGGTTGTCTGAAAAATATTCCTTTGTGCCCTCTCCCAGGGTGCACTGACTCTGTCCTGCAGCCAAGTCTGGAATGCAGTTCAAATCTCTAAACTGACTTCCCACTGTTGTGTTAAGTCTCCCTAAAACACTCATTGATTAGTAAGTCACTTCTCCTGGGATGACTGGAAGGGCTACTACTAAATTTTTTAGTCTGAAAAATGCACCCTGACCTTGGCTTCCTCCTCTTTTCTGAAAGTCTGTAACAAACCAAAAGTGTGGTTTTAGACACCAACAGCATTAGCTGTAAACTGTAGCCTGTGTGGTAATATCACTTTGTGGTGCCTGGGAAAGAAAAACTCTCTGTGACCAAGGACCTTGCAACAACCGTTTAAAAGATACAATCTGTAAGTTAAACACTCCTTTTTTTCCCCAGCATGACCTTAGTCACGCCGCTAATATAAAGTAATAAAGGCTTAATGCATTAATATTAAAATGCTGGCACAACCTTTGGTCCAATATGTTCAGTAAATTTTCTTTTACAAATGCGAATTTCTTCCATTCTTTGGTTTTCAAATACCTGCTGAAGTTTCATTTCCAAACTGAGCAACAAAGTAATGCCAAATGAAAAGGAACTTTAGAAGTTAAAGTTTGCGTTTTTATTTCAATTAAAAAAAATCTTAGAATATAAGGGAAAATAATACACAGCTCAGGATAATTCATAGCATTTATAAAATGCTCTGTGTCCAAAAATCAACTCATAGTATCCCAATAACAGTTCTGAGGTGGGTAGTATTACCCCCATTTTTCTGATGATGGAGAAATCAATTTGTGTAAAAGGTCACAGTAAGTAGTAAAACTGAATTGGAGCGCTGGCCATCTATCATCCAAATGCTGCTCTGTGCTGCCTGCTTCCAGAGGCTCCTGGAGAAAGATTAACAAGGTTATGAATTCTAAGATGGTTCAAACCTTACTTTCCTAGACACTGGACAATTATTCTTTGAGGAACTCAAGTAAATGAAGACTTAAAGCCAAATCCTTGATCCTTGGCTGGGAAAGGGGGGGCAGGTGGCGGGGCAGGAGCATAGTCTGAGCCACTGTCCCCTGGCCATCTAACTCTCAGACAGCAATGGGTACTTTTGCTTTTGTTAAAGCTATGCTCTCAGGCCCTGTACCTAAAACACCCTTTTTCTAGCAGCTACATAAAATATTAGGGGGAAAAGCCAAACAATGAACATAAGAGCCAGCACAGTTATAAGAAAAACCAAGATACTTGGACATCAGCTGGGACCCAGAGCTGGAGAGCAAATTCACCCTGGTTCAAGCCAAGGGCATTGGGTGCCTCTGACAGACCCTTTATATGGGTAGCAAAGGTCTGTGCCGGAGTGGTACGTATGAGAGTCTGGAGAAATTAAATGTTGAAAATACAACACAGTGACACACGCACACACACACACAGAGAAATGTCCAACCTTATCATTTTTAAGAATGCAAATATGTTGTAAAGCAAAAGTTGCTTTATTAAAATCCTGGAATGTAAATAAATCCAAGTAAACCACACAATTCAAGTTTAATCTGTGTTTTATGTTTCTTGTTGAGTTGTCCGCATGATTTAATATGGTACATCAACTCACATCTCAGACGGAGTCCCAAAATTTTAGATATTAAGACCTAAGGTGTGGAAAACAAAACACACAAAGCCTTTGGAATTTGCTGCTGTTGTGTTCTACAGCATTCTGTATTGTTCTGTTAAAGGTAGTTTGTAAGTATAGTGTAAATGCTATATAATTTTTAAAATAATTGTTTTTTTAAAAAATATTGGGTGAAATACGGAAATTAAATTTTAAAGCAAATGTTATTTTTCAAGAATCAGCCACTATTCTTATGTGGGTCATCTTCCTTCCAGTACTGAGCCAGCAACTCCAGAGAGCAAGATCAACAAAAGAAAAATAATTAGGACTCCTAAACTTGAATAGAAACTACAGCCAAGAATCGTGAAAAAATTATTGCCTAGCCCTAGAAGAAATAAAGCCATGCAACCAATCACAAGGAGGGCCACAAATAAGAAAGAATGTATTAAGCAATAAAGGGACTTGATTAATTATCCCTCATCAACTTATTAACAATTAAGAATGGATAGTTAGCTATAAAGAAATGTGCAAGCAGCTAAATTACTTCAGCTGAAACTAGGTTATCTTAAAATTAAAAAGATGAAGAAAACTATATTGGGGAGAGGAAACTTTTAAGAAACTAAGAAACCGGGAATATTTATACTCATTTGAAACTGATTCCAAATCACGAATGAGTAACTTAAGAGGTAAAAATTATAGGCATTGTTTAAAATGCGAAGATCATAACAGGATCCAAACAAAATGGAAGTCCATGTTCTTTGCTACCGTTTAAAATGGCTAGTTACTGTCAAGCTACTCTCGCTTATCAAGGAAAATTCATTGCAGGTCTACCATTCCACTGTTGAACCTGATCATTCCGTCGTAAAATATGCCAATGACCAGGGTTAGCACGGATTCCCAACTTAGCAGGGTCAGGGTCACAGTCAAGAGTACCGAAAGTATCACAGCCGCTTTTGTTGGAACTAATTGGGTGGCTCTGAAAAGAGCCTTTGGGTTTAAAGTTGGCACGGAACCAGGAAATCACATTTACGCCCTCTCCCCGCGGATGCGGCGCGCCAGCTGGATGTCCTTGGGCATGATGGTGACGCGCTTGGCGTGGATGGCGCACAGGTTGGTGTCCTCGAAGAGCCCCACCAGGTAGGCCTCGCACGCCTCCTGCAGGGCCATGACGGCCGAGCTCTGGAAGCGCAGGTCGGTCTTGAAGTCCTGCGCGATCTCGCGCACCAGCCGCTGGAACGGCAGCTTGCGGATCAGCAGCTCGGTGGACTTCTGGTAGCGCCGGATCTCGCGCAGGGCCACCGTGCCGGGCCGGTAGCGGTGCGGCTTCTTGACGCCGCCGGTGGCCGGCGCGCTCTTGCGGGCCGCCTTGGTGGCCAGCTGCTTGCGCGGGGCCTTGCCGCCGGTCGACTTGCGGGCCGTCTGCTTCGTGCGAGCCATCTCAGAGACGAGCTGAGTGTGTCTTCACCGAAGCCGGTAAAAGGCAACCAGCCCTCCTGCTTTTATACAGCCAGACCAACAACCATTGGGCCCAAGAATATTCAAAAATTCCCGCGCCCTCCCCGGATTGGCCCAGCTCCGTGAGGTGCCCGGATTAAGAGTTGCTTTCGGGTTGGTGAATGAATCCTAAACCCTGCCCTTCACTGTAGCTACTCTGACGTCATTTGTTTACCCTTTCCCTTCTTAGATCCACTGTGGACAAAAATCTTGCACCGAGAGCTTCAGATATTTTGAAATGTACGGTAATCACGCAAAGCAACATAGGAATTTCCAATGTATCTTTTTTTTTAAAGCGAAATCCTCAAGGTAATTTGCAGGTCTTTAGGGAAATAAATGGGCTGCATCTAAAACGAAATTCTGGGTGTGGCACAAATATTGTGAATTAGGAAAATGGTCTTTATTCGCAAGCATGAATCATCAAGGACCTGTTAACTTACTCTCAATTGCTTCAGCAAATGTGCGTTTTCATCAACTTGGATCTAGATGGAGAATGTGGGTATTATCTTTAACATTAATTAAAATCCCAGCGCTCTTCACTATTTTTATTTTACAAAACATGAAGCTGTCCTTGCGATAAACTTTCAAACTTGCCTATAGACCATAGCCCTTTCTGCCTGACTAGAAAGTAGCCCACCTAATGTGGCCAAACACGGTCAGTACTGTTAGCCACACTTACACTAAACTCACGTGTGGCTTTTACCTCAAAGCTAATTGTTACTGATTCTTTTGGGGGGGGCAAAGCTTTCTGGGGGTTAATTGTGACATTTCATGTTTTTAAGCTCTCGTAATAGTTCAAAGCAGGGCAGCTCTTTCAGTGGAAAAGGTGGGTGGCTCTTAAAAGAGCCTTTGCAAGTTGTTAGGTTAACTCTTGATGAGGAAAAAACAAACCCACGTTAAGAAAATACGGCCAGCATTTTACTTGCCCTTGGCCTTGTGGTGGCTCTCGGTCTTCTTGGGCAGCAGCACGGCCTGGATGTTGGGCAGGACGCCGCCCTGCGCGATGGTGACGCGGCCCAGCAGCTTGTTGAGCTCCTCGTCGTTGCGGATGGCCAGCTGCAGGTGGCGCGGGATGATGCGCGTCTTCTTGTTGTCGCGCGCCGCGTTGCCCGCCAGCTCCAGGATCTCGGCCGTCAGGTACTCGAGCACGGCCGCCAGGTACACGGGCGCGCCGGCCCCGACCCGCTCCGAGTAGTTGCCCTTGCGGAGCAGGCGGTGGACGCGGCCCACCGGGAACTGGAGGCCGGCCCGCGACGAGCGTGTCTTGGCCTTGGCGCGAGCCTTGCCGCCTTGTTTGCCGCGACCTGACATGAATAATGGTGTAGAAAGCAAACGCCTTCAGAAGAAAACAAGGAGTATAAAGCAAGAGTGAGCGCGAGAGAAATATTTATACGAACGGGAGGTAGGCTGTTTGCAAGCCTCCCATTGGCTACTTTCAACTAACCAATGGAAAAGCAGAATCAGCATCCCTCATTTGCATACACGCCCTCCACCTAGCGGAAGGTTTTTGCATGCTGTTGCTGTAGTGTAATCAGGGCTGAAGAGCTTTTATTTTAATACTAATAAATGAATCAATTTGGTTCTTTCAAATAATACTATTTCAAAATGCAATCAGAAGCAGAAGTGATTGTCCTCATTGCTCTGTCTTTTGGCCGTTTTTCCTTTTCCAGGATTGTGACTGGGGAAAGGAAGAAACAGAAAAATTGCTAAATAAATAACATTTAAAGAAGTCTGTCTATTCCAGCAGTTGCGTTAACGCTTTGAACCTTAAAACAGAAAAGAAAGAAAGGAACAAAATAATTCTTCGGGGAAATCTGGCTGGCGCAGTGGGTTAAGCATGGGACTCTTGGTTTAGGCTCTGGACCTGATCTCAGGGTTGTGGGACTGAGCCCCAGGGAGCCCCAGCGTGGGCCTCTGCTCTTAGGGCGGATTCGGTTTAAGATTCTCTCACCCTCTGCCCTCCCACCCCTCGCTTGCTTGCTCTCAAATAAATAAATCTAAAAATAATAATAATAATAATTCTTTGTCAGAGCCCAAATCTTAAATTATCTGAACAATGAAAACTGAAAGCAAGACCTGGACCATACAGCCCCTGACCTAGGACAGCAAATTTTCTGCTTCAGACTTTATCTTACATATGAGGCCTTACGGGGACCACCCTCAAGGTATGTAGAGTACTGTGTTCACCTTAGAGACTGAAAAACTTAGAGACTGAGATTGTTTGTTTGACCTTGTGCAGGCTCACGCTGAGTTAATGAGATAAGGACTCCAAACTCCTGACTAGGAAAGTCATCATTCCCAGTGCCATTCCCAGTTCTCCTGCCTTCTCTCTCTCTTTTCTCATTTGGCTACAACACAAAGGATTCTAGTTGGTTCAGGAAATTCCTCCGTCATCAAGAGAGATTGCCAGGAGAAATGCTGTTTTTCCTTTTACAGTCCATGAGATAGAACTAAATGGGGCCCAGATGGAGGTGAATAATTATTTCAGAAATTTTTTCAGGCTCAAGCTAAAGGTCTCCTGATTCCCAAACAGGATGGTAAAAGGAACAAGAGCCTATGTGTGAGAAAATCTACTCATAAGCCAACTCTGTCGGGGAACCATCTTTTGATCCAGGGAACCTGGCAGGAGAGTAAAGATGCTCATCTTCTGTTTCTTTTTTGCCTTCTCTTAAGTCTTCTGACTCTTTTGACTTTTTTTCTTAAGAATATTCAACCTCCTTTTTAATTTCATCGTCATCTTCACTATCACCAACACTGATGATAACCACTGGCTCAGTGTCTTTGCCAGACCCCAGATGGAGATATAAAAAGATATCTCAAATCCTGCCTCGAAGACTTGATATTCTTGAAAAGGGAAGAATTGTATATCTGAAGACTAAATAGTAGAGCATAATCTGCATCCCAAAAAGAAGGTTTGAATAATAAGTAATATAAGACCACATGGAGGAGAAGAGTAGTCACTGTGGGTCAGAAAGGGAAGAGAGTGTGTGTGGGAGATGAGCATCCAGCATTCAGTCAACGTATATTTACTGAATCCCTGCTACATGCCAGTGTTCCAGGTACATGGAACGCGGCAGTGAAAAAAGCAGATAACAACCTGTTCGTACCCTTGTGGTGAGGCTCTTCTAGTGAGTGGGGAAGCGCACAATAAGCTAAGTACATAGTAAAAGTGCACAGTGCATTTTTTGGAGTTGAGTGGTTTGGACAAAAGGTAGGAAAAGGGCATAGATACAAAGATGGTCAGGGAAAGCGTCACCAAGACGGTATCATTTGAGCTCAAACCCGAAAGAGGGGAAGAAGTTAGCCAAACAAGAAGAATAAATGCTTCAATAAAAGGCCACATGCATCCAAAGCCAAGGGAACGTCAGAGGCTAAGGGCCAGAAGATAGAAGTGTTCTAATTTCTTGAATACACTGTAGGTCACTTTGGATGGAGCAGTGGGTATGTACAGAGCTAGGTAAAATAGAAGGCAAGATTAAGGCCTGTTTCAAAAACCCAGAATAGAAACTGCAGTCGCAACATCACAAATCTATACTCCACTGAATCACGGATGAAAATAAGTCTTCCAGTTATCTAGGTCACTGTGTCAGACAAATCGACAAACACTTGGCCTCTGCTATGAGTAGAACAACTTAATGAAATCCTATTAGCAAGTTTTCAAAATCAGCAACATCTAGGCATTTGACTCTGAAGAATAATGTGGAGAGCAGATATTGGGGAGGAAGATGAGGGGGGTAAATTTTTCCATAAAAACATGAGAAGAGTAGCTGTTCCCAATAACCCCTCTTCTGCCAGGAGCAGGACACTTTGACGCATATGGGTTTATATAAGCAATGAAAGAAAGTAAATATCTTTTCCTTGCTCAATCAAAAAAGTGTAATGTGACTTGAACTCACTTGAGAAAATCTAACTGGCCTTGAGGTTATTGTTGAAGGAGTCCAGAACATGCCCTCCCCAAATATGCTACTCTGGCATATTGACTAGTTGGAGTTAACTGGCAAAAGAACAGCTGTGAGGACAATCTCATTTTTTACCTTTTTTTCCTTAAAAGCAGGGGTTGAAATTCCCATGTGAAAGATGTCCTCCCTATACCAGAAAGAAAGAGTCATTCTTCTCACCATGGACAGGAAATTGAGGCTAAGAGAAATCTGTACAAACATTGCTAAACTAACCCTTAATCTTCCTAGTCTCTTCACCCGGTTAACTACCCCAGCCCCAGCCCCTTTGCCTGTCACGTTGTCACATGCCTGATCTTTGTCCGACACAGTATATAAGCATTAAATTCTAACTGCTTCTTTGGGTCTTCATTTTTCTTTCAAAAACTCCCATGTACATGTAAACAAAAAGTAATAATTAAAACTTGTAGGCTTTTATCCCATTAATCTATGTCAGTCGAATTCTTAGACCCAGTTGGAGACCCTGTGAATGTAGAGAGAAATTGTTCCTCCCCTACAAGTAGAAGCATTTGGAAGAGTCTGGGTTCGCGTACATTCAAGCTGAAGAACTTGGCAATCTAGAAATGGCAAAGAGAGCAAACAAACAACGGCAACAATAAAGACATAAAACAAGAAAAACCTGGTATCTCTAGCCAAAAGACCAAGGGTCGACCTAGAAAGTAGAAAACTTATGAAATAAGCACTGTGCTCCAACGAAACACCATGGAAAAAATTGTGCATCTGCCTCCCCATCTCCCTAGGCATAAGGTTTCCACAGAGGCCACATGGGGATCCCGGACATCACTTCCTCAGCAATGATGAGACACTTCTCCCCTCTCAGCATGTGGGAATCATCCACCCAGGATTTTAAGGCAGCCATCATAAAAATACTTCAGTGAGCAATTACAGACACACTTGAAACAAATGAAAGACTGGAAAACCTCCGGGAAAAAGATAAAAGATGTAAAAAAGAACCAAATTCAGATTTTAGAACTGAAAAAATACAACGACTGAAATAAAAAGCTCCATGGATGGGCTCAACAGCAGAATGGAGAAGACGGAGGGAAAAAAAAATCAGTGAATCTGAAGATAGAATAATAGAAATTACCCAATTTAAACAACAGAGAGAGAATACACTGGGGAGAAAAATCAACATCAGAGACACGTGGGACAATGACAAAAGACCAAATGTTGCGGAGAGATGCTGAAGAATTCCTAAAATTGACAAAAGATGTAAACCTACAGATTTCAGAAGCTACACAAACCCCCAAGTAGAATAAACCCAAACACATTCTTGCCATAAAACACATCATAATCGAACCTATGCAAACTAAAAGCAAAACAAAAAAAAATCTTGAAAGCAGTGAGGGAAACAAAACCTACATAAAAGGGAAAAATCAATTCAAATGACAGCAGATTTCTCATCAGAAACCACATACCAAAAGGCAATGTCACATTTTTTAAGAGCTAAAAGAAGGGAACTGGTACCATCACTCTGAATTTCATGTCCTTTAGGAATCGGTGGGGAAATAAAGACATTCTCAGATGAAGTAAAGTGGAATTTGTTGCTAGCATATCTCTCCAGAGAAGAATGGCAAAAGGAAGTTCTTGAAAAAGAATGGAAATAAGATTTTTGGAACATTAGGAAGGAAGAAAGTAAAGAAAGAAATATGGGTAAATACAATTCCCTTCAGTTTTCTAAATTATGTTTAGAAGCTAAATTTCTTATATTATCTGATGTGGTTCTCGATGTATATAGAGGAAATATTTCAGATAATTATATTATAAACAAGAGAGGGCAAAAAGATTTAAAAGGAGACAAGCTTTGTAAGGTTGAACTGATAACTAGATACCGGTGGACTGTGATGTTATATGTATGTAATATCTAGAGCAACCACTAAGAACTATCCAAAGACAATAGATGATTCAAATTCAAATTGTCTCAAGAAAATATTCAAGCAGCCCACAGGAAAGTCTGAATTAGAAAACAGAGAAATGAACAACAGCGAGAGAAAAATTAAAAACAAACAAAAAAACCCACCAGAAAACAAAAAGTAAAATGGCAAACTTAAGGCCTAACATGTATGGAAGAAAAATTTTTCCTAAACCCTTTTAGAGTCCCTGGCTGGGTGTGATAATTAAACTAACAAAGATAAACTAGCAGGAGAAAAGCATACAAATTTTATTGGAATTTTTACATGTACTTGGGAGCCTTCCTAAAAAAATGAAACCTAAAGAAGTGACCAAAGCAGGAAGCTTTTATAACTTTAGGCAACGAAGTAGATTTCTAAAGGACTGAAAAGACAAGGGGGTTTGGGCAATGGGTAGTAAATCACCTGTTTCTGGTGATGTTTTCTAATCCTGCCTTTAGAGAAGAGGGGTGAGGAAGAGGAGGTCAAAGTAACCTTGGTTCGCTGTTTTCCCAAACGCCTCTAGCAAAGATATGATATAAGTATGTCAAAGTGCCATCTTTTGGGGTAGTATGCCTGAACCCCATCATTGTCAATAATTGCATTAAATGTACATGGTCTAAATACATCCATTAAAAAACAGAGATCGGCTGAGTGGATAAAAGTACATGCTCCAAATGGATGCTGTTGTAGGGAGGAAAAATAATTTTCCCTCTATCCTTCTAGATTGTTAGCTGAATTCAGCTTGTAGTCTAATACAAGAGAGATTAACAGGAGGAAACATGTGTACCTCCTGTATACAAGGGGGAGATCCAGGAAACACTGAGTAATGCCTCAAATGGCCCAAGCCACCACCTTAAATACCATCTCCAGCTAAAGGCAAAAGATGTTCAGGGTGGAGGGTGGGGAGGCCCATTTTGGGAGGTTACCAGGCAAAGCACAGTAAACAAGGCTATGGTTGTTAGGCAGATTGAAGTTTTTGCCTTCTCCAATGGGTTCCTACAGGTTTAGTCATCCTTCCTGGCACAGAGAGGGAAACTCTCTTGCAAATGCAGATTTCCCTTGAAAATGTAAATTTCTCTTACAAAAGGCTAACGTCTACTAGGTTTTCAAAAGCTTTTTAAATGTCTGCTATTAAAAAAAAATCAGGGGCGTCTGGGTGGCTCAGTCAGTTAAGCATCTGCCTTTGGCTCAGGTCACTATCCCAGAGTCCTGGAATCGAGCCCCACGTCGGGCTCCCTGCTCTGCTGGGAGCCTACTTCTCCCTCTCCCTCTGCCTACCTCTCTGCCTACTTGAGCCCTCTCTCTCTCTGTCAAATAAATAAATAAATCTTTTAAAAAAGATCAGTTTAGGTAATCCTTATGCCAAGGAGGCATATTTTAGGGTGGCAAATAATGTTCCCCTTCATTGTCTACAGGAACTCACTTCAAATATAACTATATACGCATGCTGAAATTATAGGGTAGAGGAAGAAAAACCCTGCAAATATCAACAAAAGGAATCAAGGGTGCCTATATTAGTATCAAGTAAGTAAACCAGAGCAAAGAAAATTACCAGAGATAGTAAAGGACATTACAAATGATAAAAGAGTCAATCTAATAAGAAAACCAAGCAATTTTTTTGTTTTGTTTTGTTTTTTAAGTTTTTATTTATTTATTTGACAGAGAGGGAGATAGGACAAGCAGGAGGAATGGCAGGCAGACAGAGAAGCAGGCTCCCCTCTGAGCAGGGAGCCCGATGTAGGGCTCCATCCCAGGACCCTGAGATCATGACCTGAGCTGAAGACAGACGCTTAACCGACTGAGCCATCCAGGTGCCCCAAACCCAGAAATTCTTTATAAATGTGTAAGCACCAAATAACAACCTTACAAAATATGTGAGGAAAACTGGTAGAACTGCAAGGAGTAATCGGTAGACAGGTAGACAGGTCAACAGCCCCTCTCAACCATTGATAGAACAACTACACAAAAATTTAGCAAAAAAATAGAATTCAACGAGTGGCTTGTTTTCATCTGTAAACCAGCAGTGGTAATGTAGAGGTGGAAAAATGTTCCCTTCTTCCTTTCTAGGCTCTTTGGCTGGTTTAATAATTACGTTTTGACACAAGGCAGATTAATAGGAGAAAAGCAAATATAATTTCTTATGTCTGAGAGCCCTGTAAAGACATGAGACTCAAAGGCAGTCAGGCAATGGACGATTGTATGATATCCATCCTGAGCTAAGGAACGTGGTGAGGACCTGGGGCTTCAGAGGAGAGTTGGCAATTCACAGGAAAGTAAGAGTAGATGTTTGGTTAATCAGATGTTTGCCCTGCCTTGCAGGTAAGTTTTTCAGATTAAAAAAAAAGTTATCCCTGACAATAGCTCTCTTTCTGGTACTGTTAGACTAGGCTAGGCTCTAACCGGATGCCTGGAGGCCAGCAAGGAGGCGGCCGTGGCCCGCTGTGGGGAAGGCCAGAGGCCTGTCCTGGCCGCGTCCACGAGAGGCCGGATCCCACCAGACAGGCCCACGATGCGGCGCCAGGACGGGAAAGCCCTGAGCAAGTGGGAAGAAAAAGCAGGGGGAGGCCGCTCCTTCTCTCTCATATCTCAAGGGTATACTTTTAACTTTAATAAACTTTCCCGCTTGTGTCCCTTGTCCTCTGTGTTGCATGTCTGTCCTTGAATTCTTTCTTGTGACAAGACCTTTGATCACCTTCTGGAACTGGCCGAGTGGAGGCCCCAGGGCGCAGGGTTTCCCTGTTCACCTGGCAACAAGATCTCTATCAAATTTTAAAGGATAAGAGAAAGTAATGAGCTCATATGACATTAATATATCTATATGTTTATAGACTGGCACAAAATAAAATTTCCAGAAGATTGATGGCAAAAAAAGTCCTGGATAATGGAATTACAGTTGATTTTCATTTGTTTATTTGAAATTTTTGTGGTGGTTGTTATTTTAAAATAACGGGCAAGTATTATTTTGCAAGGAAGTTAAAAAGAACTGACTTAAATGTGTATATTACTTAATGGAAACGAAAAGCCAAGAAGAAAGTCATCAAATGTTGCGGAGAGATGCTGAAGACAGGACTGAGAAGTCTGTGTCCTCTCATCTGCCCGGAAGCAGGGCCAGGGCATCCCATTTCTAACTGTGCCCTATTTCCTGAATGATGAACACTTTCTGGACGCGCTGTTATCTGTGGATCTTTCTTTTCTTTACCAAATTCTCAACCTTTCTCCAAATTAAAAGTCTTCCCAACCCCCCTCTGTCTTGTTCCTGGCACCCAGAATTTAGCCCAGAGCAGCTCCCCTTTCCCTCCCTGACAGATTGAGCTCTTCCTGTCTCCACCTCATCTTTGTTGGATAAGAAGGCAGGCAAAACTTCCCGTGGCTGCAAGAAGAATCAGGGAAGTAATACCGGCTTCTTTTTTGTTTTGTTTTGTTTTCCTCACTTGCCTTTTTACTCAGAAACTGCCTCTCTGGAGAAAATGTGGGTATTTTATTGGGGAAGAGGGTATATAAACCCTTGTAGAATTTCACTTGGATGGCTTGCCTGCAGGCTCTGCTGTGTCTAAAATTGGTGCCTCATCAGATGCAGCTGGAGAGATTTTATGAGTTTTTTCCTACTTTCTCACCACTCCCCACTATAGATCGGGAGTCTACCACAGAGTCCAGGCATCTGATTTTTCAAAATTCTCTGTTCGCTTATTAGAGATCAGCCAGGTATTCAGTACAGATGGTAAAAAGGCCTAGGTCTGAGTTTACAAACCCAAGTTTAGTTTGAACTTGTCAATTAAGGGTAAAGTTGTAGGTAAAGCATCAAATATTAGGAATGAAGGGGAGCATGGAGGGAGAGAGAGGAGAGAGAGAGATGAAAGGTAGAAAGCAAGCGGGCAGGCAAAAGTTTTGAAGGACAAGATGGGGAGAAAATAATCCCTACCTCAGACCATTTTGAAGAGGTTAAGAAATAATATTAAGGGTCAGTGATTCTTAAACTGTTGCCTGAGTTCGATAATTAAAAGGGGGGGGCAGAATATGTCTTTTTATAATTATTAATTTTTGAGGCTGGGGTCTCATTCACAACTATATTTTGTGTTGCTGAGACTTGAGGTACTCATAGAGCGGGCGGCTGACATGTGGGATCTGGGAAAAAGATCATTTAAATTTAAATTTTCTTTATAAAGGGGTCCTTTTAAAGAAATTCTACTGTATATTTTATTTCTTCATCCAAAGACACTGTTGTATGTCAACTACATAAAATGCTCATAAACAGATGAAAAATACTGTTTTCCTTTTTTTCGGAGGCAGTCAACAGCTTAGTCCTACCCATTCTCCTCCCCTCCCCCAGTCCCGGATTTAGAGCTGATCCATTACCTCCTCTTCCTCAACCAAGGCCATTTTCTGTCTATTGGGGATTATTTTTGGAGTCCGGGTTCTTTGAAAAAGGTTTACCAAGAAAAACCAGCACATCTTCCTCTCCCGACCCGGGCCTTCCCCGCCAGCCAGTGAAGTGGCGCGATTGGGAAGAGCGGGAAATTCAAACCTTTTGTCCTTCTTATGGCTGGAGGGCCATCCTTCCCGCCCTTCTAGTGGCATTCCCGAAAAGCCACACTCAGAACAGGAAATGGGAGCTCGGATTCCTGGAGCACAAGAAAAACTGAAACGGGTTTAGATTGGCTATTGCCATCGGTAAACAATTCTAACGCGCAACTAATTTCCTTTAAACTGCGCATATTAAAGGTATACCCCAGAGGTGCCCACGGGAACCACGAGCGACTGTTTACTGTTTACCCAAAGCTTTAGGGCAGGGAATTTAGGGTCCAGGTATATAAGCCCCTGCCTGCTCTCTTTCCGCCGCCCAAAACTGCTCCTCCTCCCAATAAGGCAAGTCTGGATTAATTATCCCCTGAGGGTCCCTATTCTGAAAACCTTTAACCACTTCTTTACCCAACAGGAAAATCCCTATCTCTTCTGGAAACGTGGACACTGTTTAGGGCAGAGTGAACACTTACAAGCATCCTGAGGCTTACGGAAAAACGGAACCTGGGTTGAAAAAGAATTTCTCTGCTCTAAAATCGCCTCCAGAAACATCCTTTTGTTAGATTCCTGAGAACTCAAGCTATAGCAGCAAAGTTGCACCTACGCGGCTAGGGAAGTAGTAATTACAGCTCTCCTTCGATCAAGTGGGTGGCTCTGAAAAGAGCCTTTGGGTTGCGGTCAGCTGCCGGCGGGCTCACTTGGAGCTGGTGTACTTGGTGACGGCCTTGGTGCCCTCGGACACGGCGTGCTTGGCCAGCTCCCCGGGCAGCAGCAGGCGCACGGCCGTCTGGATCTCCCGGGACGTGATGGTCGAGCGCTTGTTGTAATGCGCCAGGCGGGACGCCTCGCCCGCGATGCGCTCGAAGATGTCGTTGACGAACGAGTTCATGATGCCCATGGCCTTGGACGAGATGCCGGTGTCGGGGTGCACCTGCTTCAACACCTTGTACACGTAGATGGAATAGCTCTCCTTGCGGCTGCGCTTGCGCTTCTTGCCGTCTTTCTTCTGCGCCTTAGTGATGGCCTTCTTGGAGCCCTTCTTCGGGGCCGGAGCAGATTTGGAGGGTTCAGGCATGGTTCTTCCTTAGGAGCAGTAGAAACGCTAATCGCATGCACCACAACAAAGGTTAGTGTTGTGAAGGGTCCAGAGCTCATTCTTTTATAGTTCTTCAATGCAAATGAAGTTTCAAGAATTGTCTCTTCTCATTGGATAAAATCAGAACGCTTTCCCTAAGGGGAGGGGTTTATGCAAATAAGGGATACAGATTCTCTCTTCCTATTGGATATACAGACTAACATATTTTGACCAATGGGATAGCTTGTTGGCTCATCCCTGCAATTACTATAAAGGAATTTTTTTTTTAAGTACCTACCTACGTTTCTTCAATTTTCGCAAAGGTTTGGTTGCTCAGTTAAGTTGGTTTGGCATGTCTGGACGTGGGAAGCAAGGGGGCAAGACCCGGGCCAAAGCTAAGACTCGGTCATCTCGCGCTGGCTTGCAGTTCCCGGTGGGCCGCGTCCACCGCCTGCTCCGCAAGGGCAACTACGCCGAGCGGGTCGGGGCCGGCGCGCCCGTGTACCTGGCGGCCGTGCTCGAGTACCTGACGGCCGAGATCCTGGAGCTGGCGGGCAACGCGGCGCGCGACAACAAGAAGACGCGCATCATCCCGCGCCACCTGCAGCTGGCCATCCGCAACGACGAGGAGCTCAACAAGCTGCTGGGCCGCGTCACCATCGCGCAGGGCGGCGTCCTGCCCAACATCCAGGCCGTGCTGCTGCCCAAGAAGACCGAGAGCCACCACAAGGCCAAGGGCAAGTAAAGTCTAGCACAAACAGCACGTGTCTTCCACTTTACTACAGCAAATTAAAGGCTCTTTTCAGAGCCATCCATATTTTCACAAGAAAGGCTGGTAACGAGTTTACGCTACCTTGGTAGAATCAATCCTGAATACATTTGTAAAAGGTAAGGTTAAAACGTTGAGATCCAAGGAAACCGGCCGTGTACTCTGAACTTAGTGCATACCAGACGTAACTTCGCTATGAGAAGGTAAAGGGACTGAAGTGTACAAGCAGGAAGAAAGTTTGCTTTTGGCCAATAATGCCCCACGTGCTTTTCAAGTTTCCAGTTTAAGGAAAAGTCATTTTACCCAAGAAAAGTCAGCGATCATTTGTTGCGGCCCACTGTTGTATCTGGCGTTACCAGAGCCGGTGCTTTACGTGTGATACTCCCAAATCCACCCAGGGACGCCGCCATGTAGTTTCATACGAGAAAACTCGGTATTAGGGGAGCTATAATGACCAGCCCAAAAAGTGGCAGTCCAGGCCACCCGAGATTTACTTCACAATAACTAACCCAACCATCTAGAGGCGAAGGTAACAAGATAAAATTGTACTCGATGAAATGTGCAGACCAGCAGGATTGATAACCTTCGAGCCTGTAAAGAATTTGGGGAATTTCAGGTCCCACTTAGATTTACAGAGCCACACAAATTACATATAACGTGCTTCTTCAATGGCTGGTTACCTAAACTGTACTGAGTGAAAGCGTAAAAGAATCTTTGAACATTATTTCATACTGAGAAAGGGAGAGAGGGGGAGTAATTCATCCAATCAGATCCTCCAGTAATTAAGCAATGGTGTTACCGTTCGACCAATGGATTTATCGCGTGGTTCTTTTGAAAAATTACAAGGCCAATCAGAAGGCTTCTTACTGTATATAAAGGAATCCTCTCCTTTACTCGCCACGTTCTTGGTGTGTCTTTTGTTTCGCCAAATGGCTCGCACGAAGCAGACGGCCCGCAAGTCGACCGGCGGCAAGGCCCCGCGCAAGCAGCTGGCCACCAAGGCGGCCCGCAAGAGCGCGCCGGCCACCGGCGGCGTCAAGAAGCCGCACCGCTACCGGCCCGGCACGGTGGCCCTGCGCGAGATCCGGCGCTACCAGAAGTCCACCGAGCTGCTGATCCGCAAGCTGCCGTTCCAGCGGCTGGTGCGCGAGATCGCGCAGGACTTCAAGACCGACCTGCGCTTCCAGAGCTCGGCCGTCATGGCCCTGCAGGAGGCGTGCGAGGCCTACCTGGTGGGGCTCTTCGAGGACACCAACCTGTGCGCCATCCACGCCAAGCGCGTCACCATCATGCCCAAGGACATCCAGCTGGCGCGCCGCATCCGCGGGGAGAGGGCGTAAAACAAACTCCTGATTGTAAAAGGCTCTTTTCAGAGCCACCCACAGTCTCTTGAAAGCGGTTGTAACTACTATCAACTACCGAAGCACAATTTAGTTCTTAGGAACCTTTCAGATATAAATGTTTTAGTAAGAGGTACTTGAATAATTGGCAAAGTCCCTGTCTCAGGCTTCGTACCCCTGTTAGAAGAAGTGTTTTTTAAGGTACATTTATCATCTTCGGGGTGACTTAGAAGGAGGTTTAGTTTCTTGGAGCAGTTAGACAAGCTTCACATGTACACCAGGAATAGACAAAGTAAGCTTACGGTTGGATTTTAAATTCCCCAGGGAGGTTTCTCTTTATATTTGTAGTGCAGTTCCTAGAAAACCCTTTATATTGATTTACTTTTGCCTGTTCAGTTGGATTTCATGAAATTAAAGAGAACAGCATTTAGTCAGGTGAGTTTGTAGAGGGTCCCGACCAGCCCAACAGCTTTTATTCCATTTAGCATAATAGAAGGAAATCGAACAGCATTCTCAGTATCCATAAAGTTATCAGTAGTCCACAAAACATTTCATGTATCCTGACTCCAGAATCTTGTACTGGCCTACCTGAGAAGGGATTGAAGCTCAGGTGATAGAAACACTTCTGTACTCACCAGCAGAGACCCACTCAATACATATATGCAATAAGAAAAAAGACTTGCCTACCATTATCCAAAGTTTCTTTGCCTATGCATCTTAAAATCAATAGGATTTGAGATTCTGACAGGTTGCTACCTAAAGTGTCTCTCCTACTCATGTCCCCTTTTAATAAATACAAAATTATTGACTAAAGGGTTATTTTTTTTAATTTTCTAAGTATAAAATTATAATAAACTGATGGTAGTTCAAGGTTTCCTGAGGCCTAAAACTTACACAACTTGGCAACTCTTAACAATTACAATTCAAAATTTAAAATACAAAACTAGACAGTATTAATTTATAATTGAAAGAGGAGCCAAATTCCAATTTTACAAAAATAAAACCATAGCCATCACAAAGTTCATAAAAATAGCACGTTTTATTAACTCTTGAGTACAACACTATATATTTTTTTCCTTCGAATATTTTTGACTGCATACTCTGATTCCATTTTTACTTGAAAATTATTTTGGAGGGAAACCCTCTTGGGTCCCCTCCCTCCTTGGGAACTTAGTGCTATCGCTCAATAAACCTTGCTTTGCTGCCCACCAAAAAAAAAAGGAGTATTTTCTATATATACAGTGGGAAGAAAATTCAGTATTTCCTCCAGGGTAAATTGATCACAATTTGTTTTGTTCTCTTGATAGCTTAGAACTGAGTCTCAGCTTCAAAACACATTATTGGTAGTGTCATCTTTAAGACTGTTTTCAAATTTGGGAAATCCTTTGTCGAGCTTCTTTCATATGTGAGTTGTAAAATTTGGAAGGATTCTTCATGGACTAGCTTTCAGCTCTATACATTTCAAATCTTGATTCATCCGTACTATACACCTTTACTCCCACTGCGGTTGCTACAAATACATAGATGTCATTATACGACATCTAGTACTACATCTTCTTGTCTGAAATCCAGGTAAGTTTGTCAGTGAGCATTAGGAGTATATTCCTTGAAACCACTCTTACATCCGATTGGCTAGAACAACTGAACTTATATGTGAGCACATCTGCAAATTTTATATCTTGTTAACCCTAAACTAAACATATATGAAGTAAATTTTCTCTTACCCAAATCCAAATGTGTTCATCAGTATCCCAGCATAATCAGGCAAAAGGTGAATTGTAATACGAAAGGGAAGATTGAGTGGCAATAAACAACAGATTTAACCAGCTATGAATAAAATATCTTAACATGGACATTAAAAAGAGAGAGAGAGAGACCAAGCGAACACACTCTCAAGAGCCCCTCTCAGGGCTTTTGAAGTACTGAGCCTAACATTTGAGTTTCATTAGCTTCAGGGTAAATGTGCTTCTGAACACTGTCTATGCTTTTCTAAATTATACATGGCCTTCCCCGGCCCTCCTACCACTCTTCTAACACACCTTAGCAGAGAGCCCTAGGAGTTGAGAATCGCTAGTTTGGGATGACTTGTAGGCCTCTGGGATAATCCGAGCTTTGCTTTGCATGCTGCTTTGGATGGTGGTACCATTCTCAGAGATACCAGAACAAAACTTAGTGCGGAGGATATAAAGTCAACTCCGAGCAATTTGAACCCTTCCGGTGTAAATGTGAGTTTTCTGGGACAATATTGCAGGGTGTTAGGGATCTATTCTGGACTGAATATCGTCTTCCTTTAGAGAGGTCCCCCTGGGAGGAACAATAAAACCATGTTTTCACTGGAGTCAGTCTAATAGCTAACATTCATAGTTTTCCATGGGTCAAGTACCACGTGAACTGATTGGCCTGAATTGTTATATATCATTCTTTACCTTTTTTTTTTAAAGTAGGCTCCACGCCCAGAACAGGGCCCAATTCAGGGCTCAAACTCACGATGCCAAGATCAAGACCTGAGCTGAAATCAAGAGTCAGACGCTCAACTGATTGAGCCACCCAGGCGCCCCTATATCATTCTTAATACAGCACTGAAAGTCAAGTTCTCTCAGTGTCCGTTTTAGAGGAAGAACTTTAGCCTAAGAGACTTTAGTTAATTGGCCAAATTTATACCACTGCTAAATATCATTGACAGGCAATCTCACACCAAACCTACACTCAAAATATCCTCTGATCAATAAGATTGCCCAGAAAGGGATTCTTAGATCTAGTTGCTCCTGTCTCACAGATTAGGCTAGCTGGGTAGGAGATGCAGTGGGCTGGCTAACTTCTATTGTCAGAGTCCTCTGCTTAGTGGCCTGGTATGAGATGAAGTGGGTAGGATGAGTAGAAGACACATCCCGTCTTAAGGATGCTCTCTGGGCTTCAGGACCAGGTCAGAATAATCATTTCCTTGGAAACATCTGGATTCTGCTACAGAGCAAGTATTTGCTTGTGTCTTCCCCAGAGTATTTACTATGGAGCTATATTGTCCAAGACAGTAGCCACTAGCCATGGATAGCTATTATGCACTTGAAATGTGGCTAGTCCAAATTAGAATGAGCTTTTTTTTTTTTTTTTTTAAGATTTTATTTATTTATTCGTGAGAGACAGAGGGAGAAAGAGAGAGAGAGAAGCAGAGGGAGAAGCAGGCTCCCAAGGAGCAGGGAGCCCGATGCGGGACTCGATCCCAGCACCCTGGGATCATGACCTGAGCCGAAGGCAGACGCTTAACCATCTGAGCCACCCAGGCACCCTAGAATGAGCTTTAAGGGTAAACTACGTACCAGGTTTCAAAGAGCTGTCTGAAAAATAGAATAAAAAACCTCCTTAATATTTTTTATATTTGATAACTTGTTGAAATAATATTTTTCTTACAGTGAGTTAATATACTATTAAAATAGATTTTACGTGTTTTTTTACTCTTTTAAATGTGGCTACTAGAAAATGTCAAATAATCTATATAGCTCTTATTGTATTTCTGAGGAAAAGCACTGGCATACAGAGGACAATTGCACTGGCTCACTGGTAGGAAACTAGCTACATTCTTAATATCACCAATCCCCAATATTAATGACACCTACCTCAAAGTGCTCTGACAAGGTGTTTGATAATAAGTGCAGAGTGATGAGCAACAATGCTTGGCACATTGCAAATTAGAGCTCAGGAAATGCTAGCTCGAAATGCTATTGTTCCCACTCTGCCCTAAATCCCTCCACTGTGAAATCCTCTAATGATGTAATCTTGCTTCTCCTGGACCTATTCATCTCTGGCATGAATTTCAACCTAAAGTTACTTTCTACACTTCCCTTAGGCATAGAATGATACCTAGAACTTTCCCTATGAGAAGTAATAGGATATTTAATTTTTCAGCCATGAGAGAGAGCACTATGTATGGGCAGGAAAAAAAAAGTTTGGCATAATGCATTATAATGCATTACAAGTAGCCTTTAATTTCTGTGTTACTCACGCTTTTGTCATACACGGACATGAGATCATGAATTTTCATTGTTGAATTATCAATCGGCAGTTTAGTTTATGCAGTTCTGGCTAATCAGCTATGTTTGGGCAATTATTTGAATGTATTATTGCCATTATCAATATGATCATAATAAGTAGAACATTGAAAATGATAATATTAATAATGTCAAAATAAAATATAGACTTCATAAACTAAAAATCAAGACAAGGACCTTTTTCTTTTTCTTTAAAGATTTATTTATTTATTTTGAGAGAGTGAGAATGAGAGAGAGAGAGAGAGAGAGTACATGAGAGCGGGGAGGGTTAGAGGGAGAAGCAGGCCCTCCGCCGAGCAGGGAGCCCGACGCCGGGACTCGATGCCGGGACTCGATCCCGGGACTCGATGCCGGGACTCCAGGATCATGACCTGAGCGGAAGGCAGTTGCTTAACCAACTGAGCCACCCAGGCGCCCCAAGGACCTTTTTCTTAAAGCAGCCAAATTAGAGTCTAATGAATGGCTTACGGTATCAGACTTAACCCAGTCAACTTTGTGAACACTGGTGAGGGAATGGAACAAAAATCAAAGAAACATTGGTGAAAATTGTATCTAAAGTCTAGGTGAAATTAGAGATTTTTATGACAACTTTTAGCTCTCTGCGAATGAACTCTCCCTGTACCCTTACTAGAGAAGGGTGATTATATTTGTTTTTGAGGAATACATTTCATTTGAAAGTAAAGGACACCCGTTATTACCTAGGCAGATGTGTTTGCAGGAGACATTCAATGTGAGGATCAACTGCAAATATATTAACTCCAAATGTGTGTGGACTTGAAAGCATTTGAAAGGGAAAGGGAGCATGGATATTCACTATGCCATAACCATAAGCACTAACTGGGATTCTATTTGAAGTGTCTTAATTAAGTCTTCTTGTTGCTACAACCTGACCCAACCTGAGCCAAGCGAGGTGACCCCAGTGGCAGGAGTTCCGATGGCTAGGAGAACCAAGAACTCCGATGTCAGGAGCCCAGAGAACACCCCTCTATGCATCTCTCCTCTCTGCTCTGCTCTGTACTTGGCCCCATTCTGCTCTTTTTATTCACCAGACCTCTCGGTTTCTACTACAGGGTGTCTAAGAAGGCAATTCCCCGGACATCAAGTCACCTCAGTTTCTGTAACTCAATTCCAGTTCTTGGAAGAAAATTTTTGATGGTTCATATTGGCCCAATGCCCTTTGGACCAGTCAACCATCCTTTAAGGTCAGACACTTCACCAAAAGTTTAGGCCACAGAGGACAGTATATTGACACACTGTCCTGCAAACATTAAGCCAAAGATGAGGTTAGAGAAGACCGAGATATTAGGGACCAGAGGGCATTCTAGAGTTTTATTGTCCATATGGTTGCCACAAGCCACATATAGCTAACTGAGCTCTTGAAACAGGTTAGCAGGAACTGAGATGTGCTGTATGCATAGAGTTTCCAAAGACATGATATGAGAAACAAAAAAGAATGTGAAATATCTCATAAATATTTTTATATTGCTTTTATGTTGAACGAGAATCTTTTGGATATATTAGGTTAAATAAACTATGTTATTAAAATTGATTTCACCTGTTTCTTTTTTCCTTATTTATGTGGCTATAGACAGCACTGTTCTAGAGGTTGTTAATTCACACAGCCATAGATCCCTTCCATAACTGGCGATCTTCTTCAGTGTGAACTTTATGGGATGCTGGTCCTCAAGGAATCTTAAATCTCACAGGTTGCCATTTCAACAGTAAAAAGATGACAAAATATCTGGGAATAAAGGTAATAAGAAATATGAAGATATATTTGGAGAAAATTTGAAACATTCTCCACAGGTACAAAATATTTCAAAAAAAAAGGGGGGGAAACATAAAATGTTCTTGAATAGGAAAATTCGTCTCCCCAAATTAATTTGTAAATCTAACATCATCCCAAAGAAACTACTGATAGGGTATTGAGGGGGTTTTATGCATAATGGAGGGGTGAAGAGGTGGGAGGAAGGAAGCATCTTAAATTACATTTGGAAAAACGAAATAAACAAAAAATAGAATAACCAGGAAATTCTGAGAAAGAAGAGCAACGAGAGGGAATGAGCTCTATCAGCTATCAGTCATAACATCTCAGTTTATTAAACATTCAATTTTTATTTTAATACCTACTATAGGTCATGTATTCTCAGCATTGAAAATAGTCCTGTGAACAATACTTAACAGTGTGATCACACTTGAGGAATGGCCAAGAAAGACCAAAGGAACAAAGTGGAAAACCAAGAATTACTCCAACTACTCAAAGAATTTAGCCCATGATAAAAGTGGCATCTCAAAATGGGGGTGGGGGGGCAGAAATGGAAGGGTTGTATACATTTATTAAACCTTACAACAAAATACAGAGGGCTCAATTGTTTTAAATGTGAAATTAACAGCACAAAAATAATGGGAAGTAACCATGGGAAAATTGTCTTCGTGAGTGTGTGGGCGCGCGCGCGCGCGCGAAGCGCTCTCAAAGAAGTGGAGGTCTTTCTACTCACGACAACGGACGTCAAAGTATCCCCACTCTGTCGCGAGGGGCGGTGCGGGCAGGGATGAAACCCGTGGTCCCTACCAGGAATGGGGGAACGAATCCAGCTTAATTAACGACTAGATCCGTCATTGTGGCAATGGACAAAGAACTGAGCTGCAGGTCCCAGAAGCCGTTCCTGGAACTTGTCTCGAGAAAATCTGTGCTCACCAGAATAAAAACGGGACTAGGACCTTTCTCTGTCCAGAAGAAACGCCATGAATATAAAAGAACCCACAGATAACACCGTGAATATACACGAAAGCCCTTCATTAGACACCACCCCCACACACGCATACGCTTCCAACTGTTTACCCATATTTTGCTCCTCGCGTCGAAACTGTTGGACTTGGGGCCGCACAGAAATCCTTTAAAAACGTCTCCGGTTTTGGGATGTTGACGTCTGCCTAAAACGAGGCTCAGGTACCCGCTGCCAGGACAAAATGGCCGACGAAAAGTTGTTTTTGATGCATTCAAATCCATCACACCTCTGTCCATGTCCAAAGATATACGAGGCGAGGGACGGAAGGGTGCGGGTCCAGCGGTGCGCCTTGGCAGGGTCGCGGCCGCCGCTGCGCGCTTTTCCAGACGCGGTACTTGGTGGCCGCGGCGCACGGGCTTGCACACGACATCGCGGGGCGCAGGCGCCTGCACCCCCCTCCTCCCGGGCCGCGTGCTGCCCCCGCCCCGGACACGCCTACTTGACTTTCCAAAACATGGGAAGTGTCCGAAATACCAGATACACGTTTATCAGCGGGAAAAGCCCAAATCAACCCACCAGAAACAAAACATACATAGGATACACAAGAGGCCGAACGCCACCCAATAAAACACAGGAAGAAAATCACGGGCCGGAGGAGTGGGCCAACCCGCGAGCAGGGCGGGACTTTTGAACGACTTTCCAACCCAATGGGGGTGTCCCTAAAGACACAAACAGGCTGGCTTGATCTGTGGTTGTTTTCGATGTACCCGGCGCGGGGCGGGGCTGGCGGACGAGTGCGCGCCTCGGGACAGCGCTTCCGCACCGCAGCCGGGGAGGCCACCCGGGGCACCGCAGGGCGGGGGAACGCGCCCCACAGGCGCAGAGATCCCCTCCGCCCCTTTCTGGGTGGTGTAAGCCCGAAGTGGCCAACCACACCCTCGCAACCCTGTTCTAGAGCGAAAGGTTAAAGGGGGAAAAGGCATAGGGGGAGGAAAGAATGCTCAGCTCTTTCTCGGAGATAGTGGTGGCTCTGAAAAGAGCCTTTTTGGGTTTTAGAAGTAGACGTTCAACAACCTACTTCTTTTTAGGAGCAGCCTTCTTGGGCTTGGCAACCTTGGGCTTGGCAGTCTTGGGCTTCACGGCCTTAGCTGCGCTCTTGGCGGCCTTCTTGGGCTTGGCAGCCTTCGCCTTCTTCGGACTCTTGGCCACTTTCTTGGCGACAGCCGCCGCCGCGGGCTTTTTGGCCTTCTTGGGGGTCTTCTTGGCGCTCTTCTTGGGGGTGCTCGCCCCCGCGGCCTTCTTGGGTTTCTTGGCCGCCCCGGCCGTCTTCTTGGGCTTGGCCGCGCCCGCCTTCTTGGCTTTGGGCTTGGCTTCCCCGGAGGCCGCCTTCTTGTTGAGCTTGAAGGAGCCCGAGGCGCCGGTGCCCTTGGTCTGCACCAGGGTGCCCTTGCTCACCAGGCTCTTGAGGCCCAGCTTGATGCGGCTGTTGTTCTTCTCCACGTCGTAGCCGGCGGCCGCGAGCGCCTTCTTGAGCGCGGCCAGGGACACGCCGCTGCGCTCCTTGGAGGCGGCGACGGCCTTGGTGATGAGCTCGGACACCGGGGGCCCGGACGCCTTGCGGCGCGCCCCTGCAGGCTTTTTAGCCGCCTTCTTCTTCACCGGGGCCTTCTCCACCGGGGGGGCGGTGGCGGGAGCGGCGGGAGCGGTCTCCGACATGCTGAAGCTCTGGGACTGGGTACAAGTGGCAGAGCGCCGTGGGTGCGCCGCGGCCGGGCCGCCGTATATATAGAGCGCAGGCGCGCGCTGATTGGTGCTCCGCTCGCCCGCCTGGCTGGCAGGCTCCGAGCCGCCGCGGTGCGCCCAAGTTGTGTTTGTTCGACTTCACAAAAGTGGGAAAATGTGAAAATGCCCCGCACCAAATCTCCCAGCTTTGGTCGGGAAAGGATCCGAGAAGCCTCAGGCTTCGTGCTCGCCGTTTATTTTTTCCGCAAGCCCAAAGACAACGCGTCCAGGCGCCCCCAACTCCCCCAACTCCGAGGGAAGTCCAGGATGGCCGGAGACCACTTTCTGTTTTTCTTCTAAATTACCTGTTCGCTCCTTTGCCCCTGAAAGTTCTTTTTCTCAGGGGTGGTTGGGCACATGCTTCCCTTCTCAGGGAGACAAAAACGAAATGGTTTCCACCTCAGTTTTCACGATAATTCTGTTTCTTCGCAAGGCAAGTAACACAGGTCCTCTGTGAATTCTGCGCCCAGACCCACAGGAACCGTGGACTGGGACAAGGATTCCCGGGCCAGTCCAAAGCCGTTAGGGTTGGATGAAAGGGGGTCCAGAAGCCTTGGGGGGTGTCCTGGATCGTGGGGGGTTAGAGACTTAAATCTTAGATTTGAAGACACTGAAATTCTTTATCAAATCCGGCTTTTCACAGATGGGGGCGGGGCACTCTTCACTTCTCCAAAGGCGAGAAATTGGGCAGTTTTTAAAAAGGTCTCAGGTTCCCCTCTGGGTTGTGCAAGGCAGGGGGTCTGACCCTCAAGAATAGGGATAATGAGGGAAGAAGGGAGACCCCCTAAGCCTGAAAAAAAAAAAAAATCCTCAATAGACTTGGCAGCTATAGACGTTGAGATGATCTGTTTTCAAAGAAAACAAGCATTTATTTATTTATTTTCATAAGCTCCAGTAAAGGGATGAATTTCAGCACATGAAAATTCTAGGTTTCTTCCCGTAATAATATCTAACACATGTTATGCTGTAGAAGGACACTCTCTAACTGGGAATTCAAAGATCTGGATGGAAGTAAAGCAGCTGACTTTAATGGGATACACTTTTATCAGATGAACTATATATTTGAAGTTGAGCAAAGTAGATGGCAAAATTTTAAATAGAAATAGAGGAAAAGTACTGGAACATATAAATTATTACACCATTTTTTTGTTGTTGGTAAGAACACCTCTTCCCGTACCCTCTAAAGGGGGTCTTACATATTCGGTTCTCAAGTTTGCTTTACTTCTTTAAGGTTTGTTACTTCATATTTCAGCCTTTGGTTGCCAGCAGTCACAATATTTTCTCAAGAGAAAAAGCTGAATAAACTTACTACTCATATATTTAATATAATTGTATATTTATATTTAGGGACAAAGGAAGTATTACAACTTACCAGAAATTCCCATTCAGTTATACAGTGACATGAAAATATGTATTAAAGATACCCGCCTTAGATTGTGATCAAGTTGTACAACTTAAGTTCGGTGATGAATAAAAAAATGAGGCATCTTTTAGACTAAGGATGACTCCGTGGTTTTACTGAACAACATTTGTTCAACATTTGGAAATTGTGTCTAGTACTGATCATGTCCTCTGGGAATTAACAGCCTAATAAGATTAGTGATGGATGAATGAGCAGCTGTAGAAAACTGCTTTAGACCTGCCATACCTCACTGTGACTTTGGGTATAGGAATTGTAAGACGTTATTGAAAGTGTTTGAACAACTAAAGGACTTTTATCATACTAATGTACTTCGGACAAAATAACAAAACAAAATAAGAACATGGCACTTCACTCTGATTCTCTGTACAATGAGACCCCCCCCCCGGCCCGCCCCCCCGCAGGCATCTGAAATTCAGTTAAGTATGCTTTACCACCAGGAAAATAACAATGGAAAGTCTTGATTACCAGGTCACTGGACTTCCCTTCACTATAAACTGGTGTCCTGATTTATAAAACAGCAACATGTAAGTTTGATTACTGTGATTCAGTTCTCTAATACGATCATTCAGGTTGAATCAATCAAAACACATCTCCCCACATGCAAATCTGATGTCCAGATCTCAGGTCATTAGGACACCTGCCGCTCAGTCTTGCTCCCAACCTCCTGGCCGCATGGTATAGGCCAGAAGGCAGAGAAACAAATAACCCGTCTCCAGATCCCTGTAACTTGTGCTGAGAAAAGGTATCCAAGACTTAAAAAACAAGGGGAAACTATTTCTTCGTGTCCTTCCAAGCTGTATTAGAAAATAGTATAGGTTCATCTGTGGGTCATTTGATGCTCTAAGGCAATGCTCTACAATAAAATAGGATGTGAGTCACATGTGTAATTCTAAGATTTCTAGTAGTCCCACTGACAAAAGTAAAAAGAAACAAGTGAATTTAATTTTAATAATATATTCTACTTCAATCTATCCAAACTATGACCATTTCAACATGTAATCAAAATTTTAAAAAAATAAGATAGTTATGTTCCTTTTTTTTTTCCCAAATGGCAAGTCTGCCAAATTGAGTGTATTTTACATTCGCAGAACATGCCCTTTCAGACTAGCCACCTTACAGGTGCTCACTGGCCACAGGTGACTACTACTTACCATTCTAGATGGCCCAGCTTTCGAGAAGTTAACTGACTTCATATTTACTCTTTGATTAGGTCCACAGTATGTGAAATTAGACATTAGAAGATTGATACCCTAATAAGGGTTTTGTCCAGTCGAGAGGCAAATGAACTCTTTCCAGCAGAAAAGATAACCCTAAAAGTGATGATTGCATTGCCTCATAGAACATTAACCAGTTTTGTATCTGAAAAACTACCACTTATTCAGCCTTTCAGCATTTTTTCTTTTCCGGACTGAATACGTATTTCATTCTCCTGTATCCTGCCTTGACCTAACTTTGTCATCCTGCTTGCAACCTCTTTAATGACTCACATCATTCTTTGCCCCATGCTTGAGCCTGCTGTAAACAGTACTTGCAGGAGACGCATGTTTTTAACTTCTTGAAGATTATACTTTGACACCTGGTTAGTTGGTTTGTTCTAAGTGCTCCAAATCAGAATCTTTAGAAACCATTCTAAAAATCAGAAGACCCAAAACTCTTTGGCTGTCGACTTTAAGGTAACTTTAGATCTGGTAGGTGTGTCATGGAGTCTCAGGCTTTGAAATAAGATTGAACAAGCCTGTGAGCAACAGAAAGCCTATTAAAATTTGTTCCAAGGGAAAATTCAGGTCAAGGGTGTGGTCTTCCCACTCCGAATTGGTGGCCTCAAGGTAGCCAACAATAAGCTGAGGACATAAATATTGCAATGCAATAAGCTGTGTATTTTGTATTTATACACATTCTGAATATTATGGATTGGCTAATTTTCTTTCATCTTCCTCAGGTCTGGAACGCTGGTGAACAAAATTAAATATGCAGAGCTGAATGTCATGTCCAAAAGGCTATGATGGCCACTGGACAGAGCGTGTGGGAGAGAGAGACTTGAACAGCAAGAAATACACAAGGACAGTGGGAGGAGCCGCTGGAGCAGCTGTAGGGATCCTCCTTTTACCATGCCAGGGTTCTGTCTCCTTCTGAAGGTAGCGAACCTGACATTCGCGAACCTTGTTACAGGCCCCCGCTGGGAGCGATTAAAACCTGCTTCTTCCTGACTCACCAATGGATGAGGCTAATAATTGCAGCCGCTCCACTGGGCTGCCTGCTCAAGTGTAAATGGCTAACACTTTGGTCCGCTGTGAGGTTGATGATATAGGGCAGCCTGAGAAAAAATACTCAGGAAAGAGCTTCCGGAGATTTGCAGCCTAAAGAAGATTGTGAGTCTGATCGGAAAGACCCAAACCACAGAGAGAACAGAAGAATAAAAAAACTAAAATGTTCATGGGCTGGTTAACACCTTTGCCTTCAAGTCCTTACCAACTCAGTTGGGAAAATAAGACATCAGAGTTCGGCCTAGACAGTGGATCTCAAACTTCTAGATTTCAGGACCCCTTTACACTCCTAAAAGTCAGTAAGGCCCCCCAAATTTCATTAATGATGGTTACACTTATAGGCATATTAACTACATTAGAAATTAAAACTGAGTGTTAAATTAATCTAATAATGTGTATCTATATTTACTTGGTAGTATTCATTAAGTACAAAAGTAATTATGTTTATAATTATATACATATAACATATATCACATATTCACTTGTATTACATTTTACAGATTTGTATGTATAACGTATGGTATAGAATATCATATATAACATTATAGTACATTATATTTTATGTATTATATTGCGTATATAAATGATGGACGGTCAACTCAAAAAACTTCCGCATTCCCTAGCCAGTTGGAAATCCTGGGAGCCCCAGGCTAACCCGAAACTTGTCAGGCTGCCTGCAGGTAGAGAAAACAGCTGAGCTCATGGTGCAAGAGAGTAGAAAGATAGCAGTTTTGGAGCAAGCACATTGTTTAGGATCCCAATTCCTCCACCCAGCAGCGGGGTGGCCCTGCTAAGTTCTCAGACTTTCCACTTCCATTTCCTCCTCTGGCACAGGGGAATAGCACCTCCCCCCAGGAATACAGTGAGAATTAAATTAGATCACATGCATACAGTTGCTGAGATAGGGCTGAACACACAGTTGCCTCTTATTTGAGGTTTCTTTCCATGAGATCCACCCACCATGGGACTCTGCTGTTTTAGAGCGACCCTGAGAAAGTTGGTGCTCTCTTTAATTTGGAGGAGGGTGAGAATAGACCCGCCAACAAGCTTGTTCCTCTTTCAATTAGGTGTGTTGCTCCTGGAAGCCTCTGAAAGGTAACATGACTAGGTGTTAACCCAAGGAAAACTTTGAGAAGAGATTCTTTTTTTTTTTTTTAAAGATTTTATTTATTTATTTAATTGACAGAGAGACAGCGAGAGAGGGAACACAAACAGGGGGAGTGGGAGAGGGAGAAGCAGGCTTCGCTCGGAGCAGGGACCCCAATGCGGGCTCGATCCCA